AAAAGCTAAATATAGTCTCGTGGCTACATTGTGGAGCGGTGTGCTTTGAGGATGTTGTTAAGAGTCGCGAAGAGCAAGAAAACCCTGCGAACAATATTGCAGACTCATTACCCCGTTGCCCACAGAATTCTTTCTTTCTAAGAAAAACTCAAGGAGCAAATTGAAGATCCTCGCTTTAATGCCAGTCGTTATACACACGCAAGCATCGTTACCGGCTCGCGCGGGAATTGTCAAAGGAAAATCTCAGAGGGAAACCTACACGAGTTCACGTACGTTTCCACGGAAGGTCGGCCGAGACATCATTCCGATTGCCTAAGCGGGACAGAAGGCTAATTACGCGGATTTAAGAGATAAATTTAAGAGATCTCATAAAACACGTGAAACTGATGAATAATCAATTCACTTTTTATTTCTCGCGGTGAGATATCGCGGGCACAGTAATGTAAGAGCGATAATGAAGCCTCGAGAATGGATCTGTGAAGCTGATCATTCATAAGAAGAAAGGTAAACGCGCTACTCTCGCGAAAAGAAGTGAATGGCACTCTCATCAGGAACAAATCGGGCTATGACAATGATGAAGAGCACGTAGCCGAGTCGTGATTTAGCCGAGGGTTATCGCTAACCTTGGGTGGTTACCATCGTTGATTATTCAACACGGGTCTCTGTCCGGCACACCGTCATTGGATTCTTCATTTTTCTCTCCCTCTAACTTAGAAGGGGTCTTGTTTGTCTCTTCTCTCTTTTGTTCTATCTTGATTCTTTTCTCTTTGGCTTAGGTATATAATAGTTGACTGTGTAACCATTAGAGGTAGGATTCCTTTACGGCGGATCCCTTCCTGGTAGTGATTTTCGTATTACTCCCTTTCTCTTCTTCTCGGACATTCGTACTTGGTTCTCTTCGTTAACGAGTCTTTGCGGCGAATCAGCAGAGATCATATCCGAGGCATACTTAAATGTCGGAAGGATGTATTATTATACCCGAGAGCAATAATTTTTACAAATTTTTAAAATCTCATCATTAAAATTTAAAGAGATAATTTTACTGTCTCTTTAATTAATATTTTTATATAATTAGAATATTAATTAAAAAGAGGATATTCCGGAGATGGGAGATATAATAAAAAAATTTTTAATTAATATCAAAAATATTTGATAATCGAATTGTTGTAGAACCACTACGTTGTAAATCTGCTGAAAATAGTGACACGTGATTGTTGATATAATTATATGAATTTATTTCATAAATATTTCAGGCATCTAAGATCTCGCTTCCGAGGAATTGGCTGTATTTTCTTTCAGTTTGTAAATTAATTAAAAGATATAACTAATAAATTTAATATGAGTTGGCAAAATTTTTGGTAAATCGTCAGCTCGATAGTTGGACGGTTGGAGTGTGCAACCCAGGGCGTGTTACACGGTCGCCAACGCAGGCATCGACCATGAAGAGAACCGTATAGCACGCGGACAACCGAAATCATGTTGGTCAGCCTAAGTGCCTAACTGTAGAGTTTTATGCTCGGTGATCTAACGCGCACATTAGCGTGCGGCAATGTCCATGTGGTTACTATGTAAATGGGCGTTCCTATAAATCAAGTTAGGTGTCTAACTGTAGAGTTTTATGGTTTGCTAGTCCCGCTCTAAAAAAATTCATAGACCCGTTTCCGCGTTCAAACGCGGCGATGCAACGTCGCGAATTCTATTATTTCTTTTATTTCTTAATACTTAAGCGGCGCAAAGATGCCGATGTCGGCACCCCATGTGTGGATCTTTTGATCGCGATAATAATCCTACGAGCGACTTAACTATCCCGGCGCGTTTTGGCAATGTAAGGTACGATGTAATGTACGATCATAAAACTTTCCGCGCGATTTCAGCCTCGCGTCGGACAACAGTCGGACAACGTTGGAGAACAGAGAACGTGGAATCGCGACGGAACTATGGGCTGCAATAAACTACGACTACCGTTTTCGCGAGCTTACGCCGTAAATATTGCAACGGTACAAAGAAGATGTATAACACAGTTGTTAACGATATAATGAATGCGCGGTTTGTCGTAGGGGCGTTTGACTCGGACCGGCAAGAAATGGGTTGACTATGAGTCCGCTAGAGCGTACACGAAATTACCCTTTTGTAAAATCTGCGAAAGTATTTGCAATTCCTGAATACGTGGACCCTTCTTCATATTTACAACCGCGTAAAATCCGCAGGTAAAATTCACAGGTCGCAGGTGAGATACAGGAGATGAGGAGCAGTTGTGAGTCAGAAGAATTCAGAGAATATTTACCTTCGTAAAAATTACAATAGATTCGTAGCGAATCTTGTTTCGTCGTATAAAATATAGATTTGGAATAATTTTATTCCTCGATTGCGGCGTAGCGTGCCATGGCTCTTCGGTCGACACGATAAACTATATTAATAGCTCATTGTGTAAATGCATCTTTAAAACGGCCGTATACGGATACAGACGCGTTTACCTGCACGCGACCATTATATCCCGCGCGAAAGTGTTACGCGCATTTACTTCGGCGAAAGGGATCACGGGCGGCCGTGTTACGTCTTTCTCAGCATCTCGTTCCCTCACTGGTGTCGAGGTGTCGAATCGTGCGAAGTTATTCCGACGATGATCGGCAGGCCGAGGCGTCTAACTGTGGCGTTTGGGTACTTTACGAGCTTGCTGCACACGCGGCCGCGTGCGTGGGCGTGGAAAACGCGCCTGAACGGGTGTGCGGGGGTCACGAAAGGAGCGT